ACAGTATAGCGTTGATCGCCCTTTTCGCCGACTTAATCATACTCTCGTGAACACCACCAAAGTGTCGGGCCGATGGTGGGATAAATTTCCATGAAACACCTTTATCAGTTATAGTCTGTTGAATTTTATCCTTATTAACAGATTTTATAAGTTCACTTAACTCTCTATTTGCCCCTACAAAGTTTGTGCCATTGTCGGAAATCACTTGTTTTGGCATACCTCTTCTGCCCACAAAACGATAAAAAGCATTTAAAAATGTATCCGTGTCTAAACCATACGCCATTTCCAAGTGCACTGCTCGAGTGGCTACACATGTAAATAAGCATAGATATCTTTTGATTTTGGTTTTTCCTCTCCCCTGCCGTGTTAAGAATGGACCTGCATAGTCTACAGCTACTCTGTGAAAAGCTCTCATATTGTCCATATTCGACCTAAATTTAGGCAGGGGTGCCATTATTTGTTCTCCACCTTTTGCTTTTCTACGTTTGCATTCATTACAATGTTCCTCATACTCACGTATTTCTTCTCTTGCACTTATGATCCAAAATCTTTCGGACAGTAATGCTAAAGTGTGGTTTGTACCAGCGACATGATGTCCGAGTTCATGATACTTTTTTACAATTAGCTTTGTCACCTGGTGTTTCCTAGGTAAAATAATTGGATTTCTCACATCATAAGGCAATGATTCATTTAGGTCTAATCTCCCTGATGAACGCAATAGTCCGTCGTCGTCTAGTTTTGGGTTTAAAGCAATTAACACATTATTTACAGACAAATTTTGCCTCTTTTTTATTTTCTTTATTTCCTCATTGAATGCCTCTTGTTGCGCCGCTTTAATAATTAATTTCTCTGCATCCATAAACTCTTCTGGATCCAATTCTCCACATTTTCTGCTTTCACAAGATTTTCTACAGTTAATAATAAATCGCATCACATAGCCCTCAATTCGAACCAATTTGTTCCATTTTGAATAACGGGCTGGGTTCAGTCGAAAGTCCTCCTCCGTATTTACAAACACATTTCCTAGAAAAGATTTCACAGATTTCCTTATTTCCAGTTTTGGTGTATCC